GGAGTGTGTTGCCATTTCCTCCTTCAGGGGAATCTTTTTTTTTTTTTCATTTATTTTTATTAGTTGGAGGCTAATTACTTTACAATATTGTAGTGGTTTTAGCCATACATTGACATGAATCAGCCATGGATTTACATGTGTTCCCCATTCTGATCCCCCCTCCCACCTCCCTCCCCATTCCATCCCTCTGGGTCTTCCCAGTGCACCAGCCCTGAGCACTTGTCTCATGCATCCAACCTGGGCGGGTGATCTGTTTCACACTTCATAATATACATGTTTCAGTGCTATTCTCTCAGATCATCCCACCCTCGCCTTCTACCACAGAGTCCAAAAGTCTGTTCTGTACATCTGTGTCTCTTTTTCTGTCCTGCATATAGGGTTATCGTTACCATCTTTTAAAATTCCATATATATCCGTTAGTATACTGTATTGGTGTTTTCTTTCTGGCTTACTTCACTCTGTATAATGGGCTCCAGTTTCATCCATCTCATTAGAACTGATTCAAATGAATTCTTTTTAATGGCTGAGTAATATTCCATGGTGTATATGTACCACAGCTTCCTCATCCATTCGTCTGCTGATGGGCATCTAGGTTGCTTCCATGTCCTGGCTATTATAAACAGTGCTGCGATGAACATTGGGGTGCACGTGTCTCTTTCAGATCTGGTTTCCTTGGTGTGTATGCCCAGAAGTGGGATTGCTGGGTCATATGGCAGTTCTATTTCCAGCTTTTTAAGAAATCTCCACACTGTTTTCCATAGTGGCTGTACTAATTTGCATTCCCACCAACAGTGTAAGAGGGTTCCCTTTTCTCCACACCCTCTCCAGCATTTATTGCTTGTAGACTTTTGGATAGCAGCCATCCTGACTGGCGTGTAATGGTACCTCATTGTGGTTTTGATTTGCATTTCTCTGATAATGAGTGATGTTGAGCATCTTTTCATGTGTTTGTTAGCCATCTGTATGTCTTCCTTGGAGAAATGTCTGTTTAGTTCTTTGGCCCATTTTTTGATTGGGTCATTTATTTTTCTGGAGTTGAGCTGGAGGAGTTGCTTGTATATTTTTGAGATTAATCCTTTGTCTGTTGCTTCGTTTGCTATTATTTTCTCCCAATCTGAGGGCTGTCTTTTCACCTTGCTTATAGTTTCCTTTGTTGTGCAAAAGCTTTTAAGTTTCATTAGGTCCCATTTGTTTATTTTTGCTTTTATTTCTAAAATTCTGGGATGTGGGTCATAGAGGATCCTGCTGTGATTTATGTCGGAGAGTGTTTTGCCTATGTTCTCCTCTAGGAGTTTTATAGTTTCTTGTCTTACATTTAGATCTTTAATCCATTTTGAGTTTATTTTTGTGTATGGTGTTAGAAAGTGTTCTAGTTTCATTCTATTACAAGTGGTTGACCAGTTTTCCCAGCACCACTTGTTAAAGAGGTTGTCTTTTTATCCATTGTATATTCTTGCCTCCTTTGTTGAAGATAAGGTGTCCATAGGTATCTAATCCAGGGGTTGAACCTGCATCTCCCACATTGGCAGGCAGATTCTTTACCCCTAGAGCCACCTTATGTATCACAACTTCTTTATTCATTCATCTTTCAATGGACACCTAGGTTGTTTCCATGTCCTAGCTATTGTAAATAGTCCTGTGATGAGCCTTGAGGTATATATGTCTTTTTCAATTATGGAAACCTATAATGTTTTAAAAGAAATACCATCAACTTGAAGAAACAGAACAATGCAAAATGGACAGAGGTCTTTTTTTTTTTTCCATTTATTTTTATTAGTTGGAGGCTAATTACTTTACATCATTGTCTTTAGACCCAAAACCTAGCTGGAAACACAGGTTACCTGGCTGCAAACATATGTTATTTTTTATGGAAAAAGAGGGGTAACTGGAATAAAGAGCCCAAAAAGTGGACCAAAAGCTGCAGACAGTCTTTACCTGGAAGCAGGGCTGGACTCCAGTCAAGGAATAGTGTCTCACTCTCCTTGGGCTTCCGTAACAGAATATCATAAATTGAGTGGCTTAATCAACAGAACTTTCTCACACTTCAGGGTCAAGTCCAAAGTATGGGCAGATTCAGCTCCTGGTGAGAGGCTGCTTCTTGACTGACAGAGGGCCATTGTTGTGATTTCACATGGCACACAAAGAGAGAAAGAGAAAATTTCAATTATATTGAATCCCATCATGAGAGCTCTCGCCTTATAGCTGGGTTATCTCCCAAAGGCCCCATCTCCAAATTCCATTGCATTAAGGGCTAGATCTTCAACCTATGAATGGGGAGTAGGAGGGGGCACAATTCAGTAGCAACAAATGCCCATTGGATTTCAGAATTTCTACAGACCAAAGACTGCTGTGTGCCTCCCATTCACTTCTGCTTGAATGGCAGTATCCTATAAAGTCATCTCTGTCCCAACAGTGTATGGGGATGTCTGAGGGGCAGATATTCACAGAGAACGGCACTTGAGAAACTTATCTGCACCTGGACTTGCAGGAGATGACAAAATCTTTAGGCCTTAAAAAAAAAAAATCTTTAGGCCTTGAGGGGTGAGAGTTTTGAGAGAAGTAGGAGTTGATTTTGGATGTGGGAAAAATGTAAATTTTGTAATAAAAAGGTAGATTATGATAAATTAAGGATGTCTGCTATTTATGTTTTGCTGTTTTAATTGTGAGATGGGGTCTATATCTTCTTCTTTTGATTCTGAGGAGTATCTTTGACTCCATGAATAACAGTACAATGGAAGTGCCAGTTTCTGACTCAGGTTGTAAAAGATTGATACCTTAGCCCTACTCTTAAAACACTTGTGCTTAGAACTGAGTTACCATGCAAGAAGGTGAGCTACCTTGACCTTTAGTGGATTCCACCAGGGATTCTATGCCTCCTACGATAATGGGGCAGTCATGCCAAACTAAAAGTGCTTACACAGGTCTTCAGATATTCTATAAAGCACTCATGTATGTAAAAAGAGTGTTTAAAATTTTCTAAGTTATTGTTCTAAAAGTTCAACTTCCATCATCATCATCTGAGAAATTGTTTTAAATTCAGATCTTTGTATCCCACTCCATACCTATTGAGTCAAAAACCCAGGGGTGAGACCAAGAAGTCCTTACTTTATCAAGTCTTCTGTTGCTAGTGCTATATAAGTTGAGGGAAGGTTGTCTAATACCTTGTTATCAAGAGATGCTAATTATCTTAGAAAATTGCAGTGTTTATGATGTTAGGCTGTATTATGTAAAACACATATATTGGTCTGCTTTTGTGTCCATCTACTTGATAACTTTATAGGCTTAAGTAACTGAATATTTCATTATACTCTCAACTGTAATAGTATCTGAACATTTACATATTTAAATATATATTGTTTGATTTTAAATAAGTTATTTTTATTTCTTCTTCAGTTTATAGTTAGGTATACATTGATTTTTCAAAACTGAATGAAGTCATACTATACTATTTATTTTATTTTAGGATAGATATTATACAATTATTTGTTTAGAAGATGGTGGGATATTGGATATAATAGGATTAAGAACCACTGTTGTAGGAGATTCATGACAACCCATAAAGTTAGTGTAGGGAACATTGGAGATACTCTAGACCGCCAAATTGACCTCAGAATATATCTCAATCCTAAATTTCTGATGATAACTCTTGGGCCAGAAGAGCTGATGAAGAAACATTTGAATCTAGGGAGAGATATTCATACTTTACAAACTGAGCCACCAGTCATAACAAAAAAAAAAAACCCAAAATTTTCCTAGTTGCTTCAGATTTTTAAAACGAAAGAAACAGAACATTACAAATAAGTTCATGCTCTTTTTTTCTCTCTGAAATCCTCTTTTCTTTTCTCTTATCTTCTTTCTCTATGGGAAAGTATTATTATAAATTATATGTGTAGTCAAAATATATGCTTATACTTTTATAACATATATCAGTTCAGTTCAGTCACTTAGTCATATCTGACTCTTTGCGACCCCATGGACTGCAGCACCCCAGGCTTCCCTGTCCATCACCAACACCCAGAGCTTGCTCAAACTCATGTCCATCAAGTCGGTGATACCGTCCAACCATCTCATCCTCTGTTGTCCCCTTCACTTCCTGCCTTCAATCTTTCCCAACATCAGGGTCTTTTCCAATGAGTCAATTCTTTGCATCAGTGGGCCAAAGTATTGGAGTTTCAACTTCAGCATCAGTCCTTCCAATGAATATTCAGGGCTGATTTCCTTTAGAATTGACTGATTGGATCTCCTTGCAGTCCAAGGGACTCTCAAGAGTCTTCTCCAATACCACAGTTCGAAAGCATCAATTCTTTGGTGCTCAGCTTTCTTTATAGTCCAACTCTCACACCCATACATGAGAGCTTCATGTGATTTTTATACTTACTTAACTAATAGCATGCTGGAGGTAACGTTCTGCAATTTGCTCTTTCCATTCTCTTACGTTATGAAGATTTACTCAGAGTATTTACAGGTTTAGTCCATTTTTTCAAGCTTATGTGTATTATTTCATCCTACCACTCTACTACAGTTTTTCAAACCTTCACCTTATAAAAGGTAAATATCCTTAACACACACACACACACACACCCCTTAGTATATATGAAAAAATGCATGCATGTGAGTATATGTGTTTATGTCTGTATGTCCCACTTCTGGATTAGTCTTTTACATGTTTTTTTGATCTACTATTATTTCAAAGACTAGATTTTGTTTTGTAATCATTACTTTTCTTTTTGCTTGACTGTTTTTTAATACTGTTAGTTTCTATTCTCATCTTTATTATTGGCTTCTTCTTTCTTTATTTTCTTTTTCTATCTATTTTATGTATAGTTCATTTATTTAAAATTTTACTTTTTCAAGAAAGGCATTCTAGGAAATAACATTCAAGTTACTACATTAGTTCCATCATTGAAGTGTCAAAACATTATTTCTGTTGTTATTCAGTTTAAATATTTCACATTACTGTGGTTTTCTCTTCATTTTTTAGGAAGATGCATTACATATTGGGCAAGGTGCATTAACAATGCAATACTAGTTCTTCAGGACTTGTCTAATAGGGCATCTCAACCATGAATAGATTACAGGAATGTCAATGTACTGATTTCTTCAGCTCTTAACACAGACAAGTGGAACTTGGAAGAGACAACCTCAAGGTAGTAAAATTGGGGAGCACAGACTTTATGGTCTAGTGTTACATGGGTATTTATGTCATTGTTTTTCTTTATATGTTTTAGGATGATGTTGTGGAAGGCTTACCAATTAATGATTGATTAATTTCCTTAATGGAGTAGGAAATGGCAACCCATGACTGAGTATGTGTGCGTGCGTGCACACACACACACACAATCTCCTTGGTGGATTATTCCCTTTTAGTTTTATGAGATGCCACACTGTCATTATTAATGACTTTTATCTTCAATTCCCTTTTATTTGTTATTCATATTTCTGTACCAAGATTCTTTTGGTAAATATTTGTTCAGGTTATATTTTCATCCATTTGTTTTCAGTTTGCTTGTATAGTGTTGCTTTTAGTGTGTTATTTATTATTCAAACCAGAACCTTTTGAGAGTATGTGAAAGTGAAAGTGAAAGTTGCTCAGTCGTGTCCGACTCTACTACCCTATGAACTATACAGTCCATGGAATTCTCTAGGCCAGAAAACTAGAGTGGGTAGCCTTTCCTTTCTCCAAGGGATCTTCCCAACCCAGTGATCGAAGCCAGGTCTCCTGCATTGCAGGCAGATTCTTTACCAGCTGAGCCACAAGGGAAGGATGCTGTTAATAATTAAGCTAGGACAGCTAGGTGAAATCCATGATGGTTCTGAGCAATCTGGGATGTGTGAACTTACTTTTAAACAGAATATAACTGGATTTTACTTGTACTCAATTATGATACTCTGCCTTTTAGGGAAGATTTAATGCATTCATATTTTTGTAATTATTGCCATATTTGGATAGTTATTATAACTTGATTTGTAGTTTAGATATAATTATAGAAGTATACAATTGTATAGTGATTGCTTCCCTCCTTTCCCGCTCCCCCCACCCCCCAACTTTACTCCTTTTTTGCTTTACCATTTTGACAAGATTTCTTTCTTTTGTCTTCTGAGAGAGTACTTAGTTTAATCAACTTTTAAAATGATGGTTTATCTTAAATTTTAACTTGCATATTTAGCTGAAAGATGTTCATTGTTGTTTAGTATCTTTAATGCCTCTCTCCTATAGAATACCTATATAATACGAGGTTCTTAGAAAAATTTAACTCTGATTTATCTCATGTTATTGTTGTCTGGTATTTTAATTTGAACATTAAAAAAATTATTTATTTATTTATTTTACTTGACAATATTGTATTGGTTTTGCCATACATTGACTTGAATCCACCATGGGTGTACATGTGTCCCCATCCTGAACCCCCCTCCCACCTCCCTCCCCATCTCATCCCTCTGGGTCATCCCAGTGCACCAGCCCTGAGCACACTGCCTCATGCATCCAACCTGGACTGATGGTTCATTTCGCATATGATAATTTACATGTTTCAATGCCATTCTCCCATATCATCCCACCCTCGCCCAACTTTTAAAAAATATTGCCTCTCCATTTCATCATGAACATATTTTGTGGCCCATACTTATTTATGTGTACCAACAAGCTTTAGCATGTCTTCACTTCTCCCATTCTTTTTTTCTGGTTTCAACTTATTTCTTGTTGAATCACCTGTTTAAGTATGTTTTTTAACAAATCATAAACTCTTCATCTATGTATATTTGAAAATGTCTGGATTTTATTTTACAAAGTAAGCATTATAATTTTTAATCAATTTCGTAAATGGGGAGACTGAACCATGACTGGATAAATACATTTTTCAAACTGGAAAATTCTTAAAAGCTACCAACAATGAATGCCAGCATAATAGAACAATATACACTGAGGGAAAATAGCTGCTTCACTAAAATTCTATCCTTAACTGACACCAACTAATGCAAAATATGTTATCTAATTATCTTATTTTCTGTGATAATGAGCCTCTTCGGTAAATTAAAAATTATTTGATATTTTGCTTTTGCATTTTGATAGGTCTGGGTATGTACTTGTTTTTCTCATCCTGCTCATGACTTGGTGACTTCTTCAAATTGGGAGTCACTCTTCTACACCTCTGTGGACAATGAGCACCTTTCTCTAATTCTGTTTTCTCCTTTATTAACTCTGCCTGCTGGGCCCCTGGACCGTCCCATTCCATCCTTTATGTCTCTATATGTATTGAATTCTGGTAAATGTCCTTGGATCAGTCTTTAAATTTTTTTCACTTCTATTTTCCTTGTGTCTGTTCTTGTGCTCCTCTCACTCAATGATGTTTTTTTGTTTCAATTTTATAAGTGTGTTTAGGTTAACTCTTCAGGTGTGAGTTGCTCAAACCCTCTACATTTCCAAGAAAGGCCTGACTTCAGAACTGGCTCTTGGACAGCTCCTGGAAGTTGAACTCTTTGAGTCTTCGAATATTCTTTCTGATAAGAGCACTTTTGTGGTCTTGGGCCACACGGCACCAATTTAATTGATAGTTTATGCTAATGAATATAATTTTTGGCAAATCATATTCTGTTTTTTTTCTTTCCCTCTGTTCTTCTGTGGAACTGGAGTCTGAGAAGCTAAGTCCTGCAGTTGCCTACATGATTGATACCCAAGAAAAATCCTGAAGACGAGCGCGAGGCTCAGGGGAGCTTCAGGTATGTCCTCACACATCACTGTTGGTATAATCAAGTGAATCTGTGGGACTCTGCTGGAAGAGGACATCTGGAGGCTTGAGTCTGGTGTCTCTTGGACTTCACCCTTGGTGCCTTACTGATTTTAATATGTATCCTTTTGCAATTAAAAAAAAAACTAACTAGGAATATAACAGCTTTTCCAAGGTCTATGAGTTCTTCAAGTGAAACATCAAACCTAAGAATGGTCTTGGGGGGTCCTGACACACAAAATAAACAGTTGACACTTAAACAAATTGGGGGCTGGGGGTGACCCTTGAAGCAGTTGAAAATTCACATTATGGCTTATAATCAACCCACTTTATCCCCAGTTCCTCTGTATCCAGGGTTCTGCGTCTGCAGCACATCCAACCAACTGCATATATCATTGAAAAAACCCACATGTAAGTGAATTGCACAGTTCAAATCCATCTCCTTCTACAGTCACTGTATTTCTCTTTCCAAATATTCCATTTTAGTCATTTTCAAATAGTCTTTTTTCACTCTTCTATGGAGAAAACATTGTTACTATTCCTTTATTTTGCAAAATATTTTAAACTTATTTATTTGAAGCTTCTTTCTGATTTTCAAAACTGACTTTCTGTCCTTTGGGTGCAAAATTTCCCTCTTGCCAAGCCTACTGATGCTCTCCCACATTTTCCTAGAAGGCAGTCATATAACAGTCAGCCACATCCTCAGCTCCAGTTGATTCCATGGGCACTGTACTTGGGTCTGTGGAAGCATTTCTAAGGGATAGATTTAAACTTACATTAGATTCCCATGAGTTCCTCTGATTTTGGATGAGTTTTCATAATAAATTTTCTGTTTAGTGTAAATTAGATTTAAACACATAAAGAATAAGACTGAGATCCTGATATCTTTTAATTATTCAAACATTTAAAAATTATTTAATACTTATTTCTGGCTGTGCTGGGTGTTCGTTGCCTGTCTGTGCAGGCTTTCTCTGTTTGCGGCGAGCTGCTCTTCGTTGCAGTGTGTGGGATTCTCATTGCAGTGGCTTCTCTCTCTGCAGACACAGGCTCCAGGTGCATGCACTGGAGGTGCATGCTTGCAGCTCCCAGGCTCCAGAGTGCAGCCCAGTAGTTGTGGTGCGTGGGCTCAGCTGCGCCAAGGCACGTGGAGCCTTCCCGGACCAGGGGTGGGCGTTGGGTCTCCTACACTCACCTGTGGATTCTCATGCACTGTGCCACCAGCGAAGTCCCTGATATCCATTTATTAAAATCTTGCCCCCTCTTTACTGCTCTGAGTTCCATCAAACATTCTTACTATGTTTCCAGGCTAGTGTTTCAAGTTTTTTTCTAATCTTGTTTCATGGGTTGAATAAAAGGAGGGAAAGAATGTATAAAATTTTGTCACTTCCTCCTATGTTCAATCACACTATTTTAGTGTTTAATGTACTGAAATAATTCTGCCATAAGTCATTTTATCCTTTGTTCAATTGTCTTGAATCCTAAGATCAGTTACTTGTCCCATGTACTTGTAAAATAAATTGTTTGTGATTCATTTTGAATTTTCCTGTATTATCTGAATGGCATCTTTTAGTGCCAGTTTTCCACCCTTTTTCCTTTCTGTTGAAAACTGTTAACATACACAGGTTTTATATATGATATTATGCATGCATAGGTGGGACTCCTTTGTGTGTAGAATCAGGAGAGTCAAAATTATCAAGAAGACACCAATACGCTGTTTTCTCGGGGGGCCACTCTTGAAATGACTATTGTCTATCTTAGTTTCTTCTGAATCCAGGGTCAAATCTTATTTTTATAAGAATTCTTTATTCATAGCCCAGTTAGAAATATAAAGAGAGTACTGTTTACTAGAGTCCAAAGAATTTGTATGCCTAATCCCTCAAGAATGTGAATAGTTAATTATAAATATGGTTGGAGATCAGAAGTACAGATGTGATAAAGCTATTTAAAAAGGGAAAGATATTAGTCAAAGGAAAGAATGAAGAAATGGATAAAATGTTAATAAATTCTTTACATCAGTTACCGTGGAGAATGATAGGTAGGCAGAAATTCAGTAGATTTCCTGGAAAGGATATCAGAAGTTCTTATGCAGCAAGCAAGCAATATTAATGAAGGGAGTTACAATGCCTGAACACTCCAAAAACTCTAAGCAGTGGCATGGTTTCAGAGCTTTAATTGAAGTGATTAACATCATAAGCAGATATTTAGAAATAGATCTGTAACTTCATGAAGAAGAAAAATATAAATGAAAAGGACAAATGTTTATTTTTCCTGAGATTTCAAGAGGCTTCAGTACTATTTAGTTTCAAATTTAGTATGAGAAACAAGTATATTTTAGAGTGTTTTTCTGCAAATACACCACTTTTCAAGTTCTTGCACCCTTTTTATGGGTGATAGCAGTTGTCTTATTATCTCTCAAGAATGTCAAAATAAAGGAAAGAAATATTAGTAAGACTTGTCAATAGGACATTGACATAATGTGTTTATTTTTCTACCTGAAAGAGTAGATGTTGTTCCAAGTTTGTGGATGTGTGGCTGTGAAAAAAAAAAACTTAATAACATAACTCATCTCTTGCATTGTTTCTAAAATGCTATGCTTAACTATTTATCCAATGGTTTTGCTAACCAGATCTTTACTAATGAATGTGGTGTGAAATTAGTAGGAACCATTAGGTGAAAGGAAGATGATAACCTTGGAAAATAGAACTTAAAATTTACATGTATGTATTACAGAAAAAAATACATAGCTTTCTTTCACTGGACATTTTCCCATGTTGACCAACACCTGCATTTTGTTCCTATCTGCTCTATCTTTTTAATGTAAGCAGATTTCCAGTGCTTCTTGTTGTCGTTCAGTTGCTAAGTTATGTTTGACTCTTTGTGACCCCATGGACTGCAACACTCCAGGCTTCCCTGTCCTCCAGTATCTCTCAGAGTTTACTCAAACTCATGTCCACTGAGTCGGTGATGCTATCCAACCATCTTATTCTCTGTTGCCCCCTCTCCTCCTGCCCTCAATCCTTCTCAGCATCAAGATCTTTTGCAATGAGTTGACTTCTCACATCAGGTGGCCAAAATATTGGAGCTTCAGTGTCAATCCTTCCAATGAATATTCAGGGTTGATTTCCTTTAGTGGTAGTAGTAGTGTTAGTCGCTCAGTTGTGTCCGACTCTTTGACCCCATGGACTGTGGCCCGCCAGGCTCCTCTGTCCATGGGATTCTCCAGGCAAGGATATTGGAGTGGATTGCCATTCTCTTCTCCAGAAGATCATTCTGACCCAGGGACTGAACCCTGGTCTCCTCCATTGCAGGCAGATTCTTCACCATGTGAGCTACAGGGAAGATCCTTTAGAATTTCCTTTAGGATTATCCTATTGCATGCTGCCATTTACCTGGTTCCTTCAAGTGTCCTTTACTAATCTATTATGTAACTCCAGCAGATCTCATCTTTTTGTTTGTACCTTTCTCAATTTGTAATACTGTAAAAGGCTTTGTCTTTTATTGAATATGTTTACTTGCATACCCAGATTCTGTTCTGGCTTCCCTGATGTCAGTCATTTCTCTTCCTCTTAAGCCCTCTTCACCTACTTTCTGGAAGAAAATCCTTGAAATAAGATTAAAAATAATAAGAGACATCTAATTGGATCATATGAATCTATATATATGATCAAATTGCATTGAACTAAATACACATATGTATGCAAATCTGTGAATATTTTATAAGTGCATTTGTTTATAAGATTGAGGAGTATATCTTTGTAACTTTTCCTGGGTGTGATATTGTGCTATAGTCATACAACTACAGCTCTAGTGTAGCTATAGTTACCTTTGGAGGACACTAGGTAAAAGTCCACAGAATCTCTGTATTTTTTCTTAAAACTGCATGCACATGCATGACTGCTAAGTTGCTTCAGTTATGTACAACTCTGTGATCCCATGGACTGCAGCCTGCCAGGCTCCTCTGTCCATGGGATTTCCCAGGCAAGACTATTGGAGTGGGTTGCCATGCTCTCCTTCAGGAGATCTTCCTGATCCAGCGATTAGGAACCTATGTCTCGTATGTCTTCTGCATTGGCAGATGGGTTCTTTACCACCAGCACCACCTGGGAAGCCCTCTTACAATTGCATATGGTCTATAATTATTTCAAAGAGAAAGTTTTTCAAGAAGGCATATAAATAGAAACATGATTGAGTATTATGCGTTTCACCTTGTTTCTTCTGCTAAGTTAGCAATTTGGACAAGATCACAAATAATCATCTAGCACCTCATAGCCCCACATGTTTTGAGTACAGGAAATTAAATGTTATATGCATTATTTTTCAATCATTCATTAATTCATTTTGTCAGTCAGCAAATCTTTATCAAACAGCTATTATGAACCAAGCACTCTTGTAGGCACTGGAGTTAACATGCAATGAAATTTTTCTTGGATTTAATAAAACGTATTTTCCTGAATGAGGAGTATTTGTGGTTTACTAAGAGTTTCTGAGTTTATAATTTCTGTTGGCTTATATTTGCAAGCTGCTTCATTGGGATCTTCTTATTTTTTGCCATGATACATGTGAGTGGACTCCAGTTTTTTCTTTTCTTTTTTTAAAGTCATTGTTTTTGGGTAAAGAAATCTCCAGTTTAAAAATAAGTATTGAAACCCCTCAAGGTTTCAGAAAGTGAAAGAACATGGCTAACTATCTTATGATAGAGCCACAGTATTGATGAACCAGCAGAAATGTTCCATTTGAAAAGGCCTGTGATGAACCAAGTGACTTACCTCACAGTTGCACTGGAGATCTTCAAACAAAGCTGTGTAGCTAAACCACAATTGATAAGAGATAGAATTTCTTTAAATCCTTAAGAGATCGTGAATGCTATCCCTAAATGCTCTCACTGTTTCATCCCTGGATATATCCAACTATATGTTAAACTTAAACTGGATCATGGAAAATAGTTTTAATTCCGTTTTTATCTCAGTGGTGTACTTGGGGGAATAAAAAGGA